GACAAATGTTTCCTACAAGCAGTGGTAGTTACCACCACTTTTATTTTGTATGTTGTATGCAGTATCCGTCAAAATCGAAAGTATGTATGTGTAGTATGTAGTATATAACAATGATTAGGTAGTATATATACTAATTTTTAGGTAGTATATACCATGTTTTGAGTATGCTATTTTTTACGTATAAATATGTACGTATTTCACAAATATAACAAAAACCATGGGCTTATATGCAATTTTTTCATATAACTTGCTTTGAAATATCTTAGATATAATATACGAATATATTTAAAATGATAAAGTAGTATATATAGTACAATATGGTAGTATATGAGACATATGGGGTAACTACCACCGGGTGGTAGGATGAATTTTCCCTATATATATATTGTTTGTCATAAGAAAAATGCAGTCTACAATGATTACAAATAAATATATGTGTATACACTGCTTCCCTGGAGACCTTGTTTCTATTTTTCTTTTCTTTTTGTTTACATGGGCTGTTTCTGTTATTGCTTCTTCAGTCGTTTGGTTATGAGCTCTCTTGAGCATTGGTGTGGCTGCTAGCGAGCATTCCTGGTGCTTCACGCCTCGGTTCATTTGTTCGTGAGCCGTGTAAGGTCTATGTTAGCTAGGCATTCAATCTTTTTTTGCTAGTCGGTAAGGACTGATGACGGTTCTTTTTTTATTTTATTTTAGTAAATATTGTATATCTGGTGCAGGCCCGTCGACGAGGGGAGCGAGGTGAGTGACCGCACATGGCCCCCGAAATCGTGGGGCTCCCATCGAGAGAAAAACCCTCTGTAGGATGTCTCCTTTCCGCTGAAAGTTCGCTATATAAATCAGGAAAGAAAACTAACGTAAGTTCCTTTAGCTATATAAGAAAACTAACGTGGTGTCTTTGATGCATACGGGGGGTCTGGGCTGCTAGTGCTAGAGGCCTAAGAGTATCTCCAACAGACGCCCAATATTAACGACGTGCTCAAAAAATCGCAAGTTTAGCGCGCGCGGAGTTGAAAGTACCACTCCAGCGGACGCTACATAATAGAGCACGCTGTAAAAAGCGTTCAGCGCGCCGGACGAAACTGGATCACAAGTCGTATATTTAGTGCTCGAGCTCCAGCGCGCTGAACTTTTCACGCGCGTGGAAAGTGCCCTGTGCACCCGCAGCCGCCGTTGGCCTTCTCGCATGCGCGCGCCAGCTCGTCAGCCGGCCACGGGCAGGGCGGACCGCGGCCACGGCCACAGCGGCGGCAGGGCGGGGAGGAGCGCAGGCGCGGCCAAGGCCACGACGGCGGCAGGCCGAGAGGAGCGCAGGAGCAAACCCGGCCACGACAGCGGCGGGGCATGGCGCGGGCCCC